AGTTTTTATCATTCACTTTTTAGAAATTAAACTGCTACTTGTGATAGAGATCGTTTGGTTAAAAATTTGGAGTATGATAAAGTGGTAAAATCTCAGCTATGATGGAGTAGAAGTGGTAGAATCTATGTTATGACACAAATAGTAGATAATAAAGTTTATAAGAGTTACACGGTTACAGTAATTGTTTGCTTAGACCGCATTTAATTTTCAAAACAGCAAGAAAAATCTTTTGTAGTAAAAGAATAAATTTTTCGCATCCATTTGGTGTAATTTTATCTAGCATTTTAAGAATATCTGCATGTAAAGCCTCTTCTGTACGAGTCTCCTCTTTAGCTACATTTTAATTATGCGGGATTGCAAGCTGTTTAGACGTCGTTCAGTGATATAATATATTCTTTCCACCACTGCTTCACTTGAGATAAGTGAAAGGAAATGCTGTTGTCCTAAAAAGCAAACAAATAAATGGCTTATAGAGAATCTGTTCCCCCAACAGCTAGAAGTGGTATTGCAATTCAAACACTCAAAATTAACTAGCGAATCTACTAATAATATATTTATAAAATCACTGCAATAAGAAGCTCGTTATCATAAGACATTATTGTTCTTTAGAATTCTTTTCCCTTTAGTGCTCATTATCTATGATACTGCGTTATCTCTATAACTAAAGTATGCACAATTTTTTTTTGTCCGAAAAATATTTCTTTCGCAATAAATATATTTACCTGAAAATAAGTAACATAGATATATATATATATATCTGTGTGTGTATTTATAAACATGAATTTTATTCATACCTGCTATATTACATATGTATGTAGTATTTCATATATAACAAAATTTTAAAATGTTGTTTAAATTTTTAGAAAAATGCTTTCTATTTCCAAATGTCGTTAGTTAAAGTCTGGTACCTTAAAATAGGCCCTCCCCTTGTTCAGGATCGTAATATGTGTCGTCATTATGGCAGAGGAAGAATTATTAGATTTTACCAAATTAAAGAATCTGGCTTTTTTCCAAAGCAGTCATACCATGGTTATATTAAGATTTGGAGGAATTAAATGGCCTTGAAGCGCCTATTTTAAAGTAACAGACTATATTTCAGGCAATTATGTATTTGTTACATTACGGAAATGAATCATCAGAACATCTTCGAATTCAATCGCTGGTATTAGAGAATTTTCAGATAACAGTCGAACATGGCAATTTCCTACTGTTTACAAAATAAATACCAATATCAGGCATTTCAGGACATTCATGAAAACCTTTATTTAAAAATAAGGTAGAAAATGTAAAGACATATCACTAAAGAAAAGTATACACAATTATGTGCTTATTTTTGGAGAATACTGAATGTAAGAGAGGAATAATTTCCTGAAAGTTAACTAATTCTAAGCTAAATTTTTTCTGTAAAAATGTAGTGCTTTTTTAATTCTATAGATTACTGTTACGAATTTTCTGCATAGGTGAATAATTTTTTTTAGTCAGGTTATATATAAAGTTGCAATATCTTTTGTATAATGTAACATGAAATGCCTCAAGAGACAAAGCTCTGCTGAAAAAATAAGATTACTATTTAACACTGAAGTAAATGACTATCTCGGTAAATTGATGAGATATCGCCAAGCTGGCGATGGTTTTGAAAACTAATTTTTGCCACCAAATTTGGCGAGAAATCGCCAAACTTGGCGACAGGTTAAAGACTTTTCGATCTGGTTCATGTATAACTGTAACTGGTACTGCAATTGAATAATGTAATTGTAACCGTATCCGGCCTTTAAGTAACTTTATCCTTACGTGCTTTCCAAATGACTTCGAAAAATGGAAGGTACTAGATGTTTCTGGGCGGTTTCAGTTCAGAGTTAACTTTGGAGTATTGAGATCGCCGTGCGAGCTTCGCTCTTTAGATGTGTTTTGTATTTAACGTTCTTAGTAGTTTGAAGAGGTAATGACTGATTGCGCTCTATCATACTAAAAAGAACTGTACGAGTACTTTTGTGGAAAGTTCCAGAACTGTAAAATATTTCTTTTGGCAAAATAAATTTTACCAAGCTATCATCGGTTCTGTGCACATTCAATCCATTACGAGCCCGTACGGCGTGCATTATTATTAATGATGTAAACCTTATATAAGACGTGATTAGAATTTCGAGAACATTTTGCCCTTACCATGATTTCTTCCAGCTTAGTTAAAAAAAGAGTCAAAAATCTCGCAAAAAGATATGCTATTTTCTCTCTCTCTTTTATAGATATTTAGTCAAACATGAAGGTCAAAGCATGCAAAAGTATAATTACGTATGGTAATTGTAAAAATCAATGTAATGTGAAAGAGAAAATTCCTTACTCAAAAATAGAATAGAAGCTTCTTAGGAATTAAAATGAACGTTTTCTGTTACATAAATACAGCACGCTTTAAAGCTTTTCGAAAATAAAAGAACATCAGGCAACATTTCACATTACTATTTCCTGTATTCTAAAGGTTACGAAGGCACTTGCAGTCACAAAACTTCATATTCAAGTAAAAGTGGTTACATCACATTACATTGAGTACAAATTATGAGAAACTTGAAACTTTAGCGTAACTCTTGAATGTAGGCCCCTAAAAAATAGTTCTGATTCGAGTTTTAGTTGGAAACCTAAACTTTGCAAGAAACATAAATGAAATAAGATGACGAAACATTCAAAAACAACTACCACAGGCAGACTATAAACACTGCTCGTGGGGGATAGAAAGACTTAAATTGATGATTCATATGGTGATGATGAAATGTCTCAGACGGAATTTCTATCATCCTATCCTCTGAAAATTTATAATCACTCCATAGACGCCTCTTAATGTGATCGCGGTTAATATTATAACTCGGTTATTATTGTCGAAATCGAATTGGCGAAGTCCTGTTCGTTTTCCTTCCCTTACTGTGATCAATGATTAGGTTAATATGATCAAATTACTACATAATTAATTTTTTTAATTAAATCGCCAAATAAATAAATATAGATTGTAAAAATTGTAAGGTGACAGAGAAATGTCACCAAATAAAGGATTTAGCCGCCAAAGAACTGGTTTTTGATTTCAGTCAACTATTTAAAATTAAAGTTGCTTTTTTTTGTCTAATTTTATATTGGCCCGTTGTTTTGTAATGAGAGATGTCCTCTCATTAAGATTAGAGGTATAGCATTAGTCAAATAATTTCCAGAAATGTTATGAACAGTTCATAAATGTACTTTTGCATCAGAGATATGACGGACAGTTCATAAACAAACCTTTTAGTTTTCCTAGTTAAAATGCTGGAAAATTATTTATATGTTTCTATTTATATTAAATTACTTACAATCCACTGCTGTTTTGAACTATATTCTTTTATCATAATTTAATATTATCATTCGGCTAATGTTATCAAAATAGTCATGAACGAACGTGATGACAAAGCGAAGATTAACTGTATGTCTATTCTTTTCATACGACTAAAAATAAAATTAAAAAAGTCTCATTAGAAGATTTATGACCCTGATGAATATTTCCTCGGTCCTTTGTTTAATCGATTCGCTTATGATTCGTAGATATCTTGATGAATAATAACGTATCCTATTATCTTAGAGAAATACAATGTAACTTTTATTTCTGTGACTGAAATTAAAATCTATGAGAAAAAGCAGGAGATTTTAAGTAATTTATAAATTATAGTTAATACTGTTTTGCAATTAATGGCAAAGAACACTAAAAGTTAAAATCATATTATTTTCCTCGAAAATTCGATGTTTTTATTCATACTATGCTTAAGAATACTCAACTAACATCAATACTATCCGTGATTAACACACGTCTGTCTGCAACGGTGATTATCAACATTTTTTGCCCCTTGTACCTCTTTAACCAATGCTAGACGATCATTCCACCCCTCCTTTCCATAATTCGAAACATACGTACGCATTTATTTAAATTCAAATTATTTTTAATGCGTTTTATAAACTAAACAAGAAAAAGTATAGACATTGTTGATAAGTACCAGAACGTAAATAAAAGTAGTTTTTTTTTTTTTTTTTTTTTTTTTTTTTTTTTTTTTTTTTTTTTATATTCACAGACTAAAATTAAATCTGTAAAAGGTACATAAAAAGCGTTCCCTTCCCCTAAAACCATGAGCTGGAAACCCTGGCCTTATAACAAAGAGAAAAGAAGTCATTTTAAGACCTCGGTACTTGTATGCGTTTAAAATGGGAAGAAAATATTTTTACCCTCTTTTTGCAATAATCTTTTTACATTTTTATCCATTACACGTTTAGTTAAGAAGTATCACAATCCTAACTTTTTTCCTACTATTCCTCTTTATGGATTGCTTTTTATAACTCTTTGATGGAGTATTCAAATGTAACCCAAAATAAGAATACATTTTAACCTATCATAAAATAATTTTATATTTAGTTACAATTCCCAATTATTAAATTGTTAATTTTATGATAAAACCAAAAACTGTGATTTTTCAGATGACGTTTTTATTTCACTAGTAAGCTCCGATTCTCTAACGAATCGAATAAGCAAGCGCGTGAAACTCGATTCTGTGTATGACTTCAGAATGAGTTTGGGAGAATTAAAAAGCAGAGAATAAATCCAACTTTAAAGCTGTATATATATTTTGAGACTTAGCAATAAGGCTAAATGAAATTAAATAATAAATGAATAATGTTAAATAAAGATTAAATGAAGGTGGATCCATTATTTTACTGTTTTATTTTACAATTAAACTCCGGCTTTGCGCAACAATGAGCAGTAAAGTTAGCAAAATAAATCAACTCATGAAATTAATCAAAAACTTCATCGTACTTAATGTTTCGAGTAAAAATATTGTTAAACATTAATAAACATTGATCAGTTAAGTGCGTCCACGCCACGCACATTTCTTCGCTTTTTTTAATGTAAGATTTCGACAGAGATTTAAATAGCTATTATTGCTTCATGCGAAGGGATTACGAAATATCAAATTTTAATCATAATGTCATTTGTTTTGCAGCAACTATACCCAAGTGTGCCGGCTGCGAACAGCCCATCTTGGACAGATTCATTTTGAAAGTTCTGGAGCGCTCGTGGCATGGAAAGTGTCTGAAATGTATCGATTGTCAAGCCCAGCTCTCGGACAAATGCTTCGCCAGAAATGGACAAGTCTTCTGCAAAGACGACTTTTTCAAGTAATGTACCCTTTCACCATGTAATTTGATAATTCGCTTTACAGCACAATCAGCTGAAATCAATTTACTCTCAAGAATGCTCATCCCTCAAGTTTTAAGCAATACTCAAGAATTTAAAACTTGAGGGGGAAAAGGAGTTTAATTATTGAAAGTTGCTTTACAAGGAGAAAGGGGTGTAATGTATAGTTTCACATGCCAAAATCTCTGTTAGTTTCATTGTTATTTATTTATTAACATTTTCATGTAATTCATAAAGCATATTAGTCTATGTTCTTGGAAGCTTATTTATGTGTTTACTTGAGTACAATTACGTGTGCAAAAGTGATTTCTCAAAGTCTAATGAAAGGTGATAGATTTTGTGTCTGTTCATAGGGAATCTTATTAACGATTGCTAACAAAAGATTAACTTCGGATTTCGATTATTTCTATTTTCTAACTATTTCCTAGTCACAGTGAGATGAACTTGAGAAAAATTTTCAAAGGAATTATGATTAATGTAAGCAGAGTTTCGTAATTCAAACAGCAAGCTTTTTATTTTTAGCCCAAACGGCGTTAGCACAGAAGGGATATTAACTTCGTTTTGGCATTTTGCGTTGAAAACTTAAATGTCCGTTTCATTTTTCAAATTGTTGCACCAAATACTATCGCTCTGTGTTATGGTTAAAGAAATTAAATAATGAAGAATCTGCGTAAATGTATGTACGTTTCTCGCATTGTGATAAAACAACGGTACATAGAGCCATCCAATTTTGAAAAACCTAATCCTTCACCGAAAATGGGCATCTGGAAACCCTTATTTGGAAATTGGAATTTGTCTTATAATCGATTTCATATTTTGTAACACTTTAACGAAATTTTAGTTAACAAACTCAAGGATTTCAAAGAGAGCAATGGCAACACTGTACGAAAAATATCTCTAGCGCGCGAGACTGTTTATCAGAAATTGTAAAGATATGCTCATTTTAAAATTACTTTGCGATATTGTTGTTGAATTGAATTTTACGATTTAAGTGCGAAGAACATGATATTTAATAAATAACCGCCCCTTTGAGCGGAACGTTAAAAAAACCGCCCCTTTGAGCGGAATGTAAAATCTGAAAACTTTCTTTCTTTCTTTTTTTTTTTTTTTTTTTTTTTTTTTTAAGTAATTATTTTAACATGTGAATGGATTGAAAAAATTCCTCAAGCTTCGAGATTTTATTTGGAAAAAAAAATTAAAAAAAAACAGGACCCGATTTGGTCTTTTAAGGAAAATGGGATGGGTTTGGACCGTATTGTGTCGGCTGTTCTCGCTTCTCAACAGTGCTATGTGAAAACAAGCTTTCTTAAAAAATGCTTTCTAGTATGACGTTAAAGTGATATACATTTGCAGCACCACCTCGTGCCATGAATCTTAACGATCTGTATTCGGAATGTTATTAAGGAAAGGATTTAATTGTTCTTGCATAAACTGGAAATTTTCCATTCAAAAACGAAAGAAATTCACATATTTCATGAAAGGTAAACTCTAAATAAGCTAAGCTGAGAAGAAACAAAGCATAATAAAAATCGACTACCGAATGTCTTTCGACGGTAAAGATTTTTATCCGTTTTTCCTTACTTCTAAAAAAAGCTTCAGGAATTTCGTTAGTGGTACTTCGTTTCTAACCTTCCTTTTTAAAATTTCCTTTCCGTGACACTACAAATTACATTTTTTCGTAATGCAATTTTGCCTCATCTCCAAGGCTGTCTTAAGTTTGAGTGTTCTCGGCTAAAAAAAGTCAGTGTTTTAAACATACTGGATTCAGCAACATTGAAATTATACATATAATTAACTAATTGCATTGCAAAAAAATTATGTTAAAATATACAAGTTTTGCAGATTTTTATTTAACTGAGCAATATTTGTAATGTATAAATTATATATATATTTTATAAAAAAAACCACAACAGAAAAATGGCTTTAAAAATCAGATTTTATTTTTACGTTCTACCAAAATGTGCATAATTTTACTATAATTTATCCTTTCTCATATCCAGTATTAAATGGACAGAATATTCAGCCATGCAGATCATTTTTGATTCGTTTTAAAGTAGGATATTTATTATTTTTCCTTATTAAAACTACTGCAAGAAACTTTTAAACATCGTGTCATAGTATTGGGAAATGTGCATTCAGTTTGTTACTCGGTTATTGTTTTTAGACCGTACCTAGCTTTCGATAGCGTTTATCGGTAAATTAATTTATGCTATCAAAATGCAAACGTTTTTCAAGTAACCTTTTTTTGAATCAGTTGAGTATTTACAACATGGGTTCCCCCCAAAGTTCAGTTTCTTCCACATGGATAGGAGATGGATAGGACACTGCACTATTTGATCAGTTTACGTTGAAATACTTTTAACGCAACCGTTTTATTTTTTCTGCATTTTTCGAGTACTTATTCTTAGTTTAGAGAACATTGTGATATGATTATTGAGTATAAATATACTTGTAAATACAATACAAGTATTGCACCCGAAAATTAAATTGTATATTTTTTAACAAATTAAAAAGAATGCAAACCTTTTATACAGAAAAATTGTAAGATATGTCTCTGTTATTCCACATAAAGTAAATTAGATCTTACAATGAACCTGGCGAATTCTCGCACAGGCGGGAATGAATTACCAGTACAAAAGAAGGATGAAAACTAACCTTTTAATTTAATTCAAATAATTAACAAAAAAAGCTTTTATTATTCAAGATGTAAAATTGTAGGAAATTCTGTAAATAGAATTATTGAATCTATTATTCCCATTAAATTACATGATAAATTATTTTTTTCCTTTTAGTGCATTAATTATCCATTTAAGTAAAAGCTTATTATCATTTAAAAATCTTTTTTAGCTATATTTTTTTCTGCTTTTTAATCTCATTTCCAAGTTATCAATGATGAAATATTTTAACTATTATTAAAATATAAGCAATAAGTTATAACAAAGTTCTGAAATAAAGAACAATAACTAAAAGTCATTCAGATAACGATAAAATCGGCTTTGAATATTGAGCTTCGGAAATTCAATGAAATAACAGTGCTTCAATTGAGCCTTTTACTCGAAGCTAAAATGAAAAAACCTGATGTAAGTATCACATGATTTCCCTGTTGCAACAAATGCATAATTGAAATGTATTCGCGTACTGCATAAAACTGATTTGGGGTCCGCCAGTTCGACACCACTGGTCTAGATAATACTTTCTCAATTCTTAGATGCTTGTCAACGCTACGTTTAAGGTATTATGTAGTCTTTATTTTCAAATAAACAATATACACGTATGTTTAAGTTAAGAAAAGTAATTTCACTTTTTATCTTTTTACTTCAATTATCAGGAATAATTTGTAACATATTAAATGGTCGTAAATCTTTCTTTTACGAAAAGAAAATTTGAAAAAACAGAATGTCTTTGAAATTGTTTATTACATGCGTAGAATTTAAGTATTAATTAATTTACTTTTATGTGTGTGTGTGTATAAAAGTGTATGTGGCTTGAAATGAAAATAATCTTCTTAATATGTTTAAAAGCATATAAATACAGATTATTACCACTTGAGATACCTCATGCATTTCTTATGATGTGAAATAGTTTACATAGTTACTGGGCTGTTTTCTTGGTGTTAATCCAAATTAAGTTAAACAAAATTATCAGGTAGAATTAATTGCTTCAATTTGGACTCGCCCTTATATGTGAGATTAAACTTTCTGCTTTTGATACTTCTTTGGTTTATTTATTTAAGCCCAGTTAACTCCCGTTTCTTTTGGTCTCTAACATGATTAATCTCTGCAACGAGTTAATTGAAGGAATTTTTCTGGAGAGTTTCAGCTAATATTATTAAGCTCTTCCACAGTTTTTGCGACTTTTTTTGGTTTTATAAATTAAAATTATCTACGAGAAAGCAAACTTTAAGAAAAGTTTTCTTTTCATAAAAAAGAAATTCTTTGCTTCCAAGAAGGATGCAGAATAGGAGCCTGCAAAAGGAAGATGCAAATTATGACACTTGCAATTTATTTATTAAGTAAATTTCTTTTGCAACAGCATTTTTTCTCAAATGCTGTTAATTGAATAAAACTGCGAGGAAATAATGGGAAGTGAAAAAAGACAGCAACTAATGAGACTTCAGAATTTCGGAAATAAGAAGAGCAGCAAGGATTTTAATAAATTAAATCAAATTTTTCAAACAGAAAAAAAGTAGGCATCAGCGTAATTCTACTGACTGCTAATATTGCTTTGTTTCTGAAATAATTATTTCATTTTCAGAACTTCATTTGATGAAGATAAATGTCTTGTCAAATTTATTTGTTTTTAAAAGAATATATGCATCAGTGCTATGCTAATTATTTATGTTATTTGGAACACAGAAAAGACTGCTCGAATAGGTAAAATGGTATCTTCGATGTCTTTACCTCAGACTCATTTTTTAAAGAGTCTACTGACAATTCCTCATTTTTTCCCCTAGATTGTGTTAACAATTTCAGTAATTCCTGAAAACTTTTAAGACACATTAAATTTTGCCGCAAAAATAGCATGCTAAGCAGCTAAATTAGAATAAATTTTCATTAAATGTTTTAATCAACATTTTCGTTGTATTCTTTTAAAAACCACACGAAATTTTATAATAATTTAATAACGTTTAAAACAAATAAAAAATTAACCAACAATACCAAAAAGATCATGTAATATGGAACATTTAAGGAACTAATATTAAAAACAAAGAAAAATTTTATATATTAATATGCTACAGTTTTCTCATGCCTCAACTCAATCTCTTTGGTTATGTTAAATACAGATCACATGGTAATAACAGTACTTTACTTTTTTGAAATGCAGTTACAATTTGAACCTTAAATAGTATTATGCAATGTTGCCAGATTGTCCGCTATTTCGCTAAGTTGCTATTGTTCACATAGATATAGTAATAATAATAGATAATAATAATTATAGATAAGGTACTATAGTTATGATTTTTGACAAACCTGAACTATTA